CGTCCATTTCCAAATGACAGAGCTAATGAAGTGTCGAGGAGGATGCAGCTCGTGTGCCGGAGTCAAAGGGAGCCGGTGTTTGTCAATATCGGCAAAGAGACTTTAGCGAAGACATTCACCCTTCACCTCTCCTTCCTCCCTTCCTCCCTCCCTCCCTCCCTTTCTTATTCTTTCAGCCGTTCCAAACCACCTCCCTCAATTTCTCTTTCTGCTTTCCTCCTTTCCCCTGACGTCCCCTTGAGAGTGATGTTGTTTTCACCCCCGACACCCATTTCACTCCCCACACTGCACCTTGTTCCTGTCCGATTCATTCCATGTTTCATCTCCACCTCATCGTCCCTGTCCTTTTATTTCACACATGCTTCACCAACTCTCCTCCGAAGCTTCTCTGCGTGTGTTATTATGAAAAGGTAGATATGAAAGATACTGAAGGTAAGTGCGTAGGTAGAGAGTGAGAGAGAGAGAGCGAGAGAGAGAGGTAGATAGATGGATGGATGGATGAATAGATAGATTGACCTTAACATTCCCTAAGTTTATTTGTTGGCCACTCTAATGATAATATGTTTTTACTGTCAACAAAATGAACATGATCCTCATTCAAACATTGTAGAAGCAAAAACTCCCCAAAAAATGTTTTAACTGCAAACGAACAGAACGTTTGATCCCAACTGAGACCTCCGCTCTTGTTCGGACTACATTTTGATTCGTCCAGAAAATGGTCAGAAGTTCAAACATTTGTAAAGATTTGTAAGCTCCTTAATTTCGCCTCATTGTGACTGAGCGTTGGTCCCCATGAGGTCTACTGGTCCTGTCCGAGTCAATGTTTGTGCCAGCGAAGGTCCCGAAGAGGTGACAAAAACAAGCACGCACACACTTGACCACCTGTGGTGTGTATTAATTGTCTGTGGGTCCTGATGGGGGGAGGGGGGGGGTTAGTGAGGTGGAACAGCTTTGGTATTTGCTGACCTGCTGGCCCGTGAAATCTCCCTGCATATGCACACTCCTCATATCCATTTAAATAGATTCAAATAAACGACCTTACACTGTGACTAGATTGGACGCAGGCACAGACGGTCGGATGGATGGATGCATGGATGGATGGATGGATGGACACGGGGAGATAGGTGGATGACATAGAAGGTAAAATGCCGTTAAATGCAGTTTTTCCGTCCATTTCCATAAATCATGGGAATGTGATGATTGATGGCTCGGCAGCGGGAAGGCGAGGGGATGTGGCGGCGCGTTGATAGATGGATAGATGATGTGTGCAGCGAGGGGGAACTGAAGCAGATTCCATTTGAGATCTGCCCTCATCTGATGCACGCTCATGCCATTGCTCTAATATGTAGATTGTGTTTAGCCTTTATCTTTTGTGGTGATATGAGGAGGGGGCATGAGCACGCACACACACACACACACACACACACACACACACACACACACACACACACACACACACAGGCCCTTTCAGTTATGACAAACACTAATAGATTACATTTAACTTTTCATGACACGATCTCATCGGTATTGTTCAAGGTTGAAGTATTGGATTGTTACGTCATGTGATGAGAATTTGTTGAATCAGGACAATAAATTATAGAAGAGACGAGTTTTACTTTTTCTCAGTCGGACGTTTCCTCTGTAAATATGTCGACTGACTGAATTTCCGTCTCATTTCAAACGTGGAGACAGATCAGGATGTTTATGTTGCCAGTTGGGGACTGAATGTCCTTCTCTGGGGCACAGCAGCCGAACCCCCCCCCGGGCACCGACAGCTGCCGTGTGGTTCATGTCAACCTTCTTCACAAGCTGCCAAAGGTGAGTCTGAAAACACACTATCACTATTGGAACTCTTCAGAATATGTGCATGTATTTTCACTCTGGTGATCAGTGAGGATAATTATACACGACACATATTGTCATGTCTTGTCTCATGTCTTTCTCATTATGGACTCTTTTAGTATTTGACTTTTATCTGTGTTTAGATTTGCGTTTATTCTGTGTTTCCTGTTTTATTTTGAAATTCTGATCTCCCTTCTTTGTTTCCGTTACTTCCTGACTTTGTTCGTTTACTTCCTGTCGGTTTCACCTGTGCGTCCTGTGCCACCTGTCTCTAGTTTGTCATCAGTTCAGTTTGTATTTAGGTCAAGTCCTCAGTTGTGTCTTTGTCGAGTCGTCTGTTTAGACTCTGTGTTCTGGACAGTTTGGTTTCCTGCCTGGCCTCCCCTTATTTTTGTATTTTCCAAAAAATAATTTTTTTTATTGGACCTGCCTCACTCCTGCATTTGGATCCACCTGCTCTTTACAACATATGAGTGTTTCGTGATTTAACATATAATCTCTATTGCAGTATTATGGTCTGGCCACTTTTAGGAACTATGTTAAAGTTGTGGAAACATCACAAACATAAAGTTTTCATCAAATGTAATGAAGCTCAATCAGCAGATCTATCTTCCAGCTGACGGAGGGTTTTCCCACTTTCTCTCATTTACTTAATTACTCTTTAAGCGCCTCTCTTGACTGAGTAGTTTTACTATCGCTGCGACCACTGAACAACCAAATACCACACACTCATAGATATCAATCCTCTTAATGCTCCAGACTATTCTCATGAATATTCATGTATAATTCCAGGAAATTGGTTAAAAAAACATCAAAAATCCACCTTTTTTCGCAAACTTAACAGAAGTAATACAAAAATCTTGCGTTCCCCTGAAAATGTTTAGTTTCTTTCTTCATAACCTCCAGATATCCGACAATGTTAGAGAGGAAAACTAAAGGGAAACTGAGATTAAAAACAGATCTCAACAGCACAAGTTATTGATTTAGTCTCAGACGTATTGAAACACAACATTTTCCAGTAACATCTTGTTCTAACTGAATCACACATGGACGGACTCTGGAAACTGTCTTTTTGTAGGATGACTGGAGGTCGGGTAAAATGTCAACCTGTACAATACATCGCACAAAGAAACACCTTAGCATATCTATGGGCTGGCGCTGCCCATCCCAAAGCTTTTTATCTGTCTCCTCGCTCTGTTCTTTTATTCATCACTCTATTTCTTTCCCTGGGAGGGAAGCTGTGTTGGTGGAGGTCTAAACGCCCTGGAGCGGACGGAGGGATTTCAGGTGTCAGGGGAGAGGGAGAGAGAGAATGTGAATAATAGATCAGAGAGGGGGATAGAGAAAGAGGGAAGGAGTCGGAAGAAGAGAGCGAGGGTGACATAAAAGGTGGGAAATGGAGAGAAGTGAATGGAGAGAGGGAGAAAGAGATATAAAGCAGGTGTCAAAAGGACACAGAGTCGGATCGGGTCGGAGAGGAAGGTGAAGTTGGACGGACTGTTTTCTTGGAGGGCAACCGTGACAGGAAAACACACATCTGTAAAAGTCAGACGTCCATCCATCCATCAGTCCATCTGTTCATCCATCCATCTGTTCCTCCCTCCCTCCCTCTGTCTCTTCCCTGCTGCCTCCAGTGTGGTCAGGAGTTGTTGCATAAGGCAGCGATTCATCTTTTATTGAGATGGGAAGCTTCTATAAATACGTCCACCTTGTTCTGTGGACGTTAAGAGCTCAACCTGTAATCCAGCTAAAAATACACAAAGGATGACCACAGCAAATTAGATTACACTGTTAAACACACGACTTGTGTTGTTTCTTAAACTCGTTTTGAAGTTAGTTGTGTTTATGTAAAGATGATGATGAGTCACTTCCCCTGTTTCCTGACATCGATTTTAAGAAATCAAATCTCAGCTGATATAATTTCAGAAAACAAATATATATATATATTGACATTATACATAATACTGAGCCAATACTCATCAGCTTTTAATGCCGTGACTCGAATGTGTACTGAATTTATTGAAACTGTTCAGGTGATCAGTGAAACCCGATACGACCCAGACCGATGAATCAATATTAACTGCAGCTCTGATTTACTGCACAATATTTAACACCTTATTGTGTTTATATATGTTGTGTCACAACGTGTGTGTTCTTGTGTGTTATTCTGTGTTAACTCAGACATAATCTATTCAGCATTAAAGCACTTCGAAGTTTCCGACTTAAGAAAAAGTTATGTTGCTGCTGTAAAACTGAAATATCTCACTCAGGTTTTCAACTAAGTTAACTGGGCAACAGTCATTTTATATCCTTGAAATATCGTATATGTCCAATATTGCTTCACCATTAATAATTTGTTTACATCACACATATGTTTATATAAATAATATATACATGTATCCATAGTAGGACTAATAAAATATTTATCTTATCTTATTTTTATCTATCTTGTCTTGGATATTTATCGGTTTATCACTATAGGGTATTTAGTCCAACTGTATTCATATATAACCTCCCACAAACAGGAGTAAACAGTATATATTATAAATGTGGCACAGCAGAGTTTATATGTGTATAATGTGCATATAATTCTGTCGCATAACACCATTCAATCACAACTGTTACAACGATGTTTTATCTCAAAGATCAGGGTGAACGTATCACAACATGTCCAAAAATTATACAGAGACAAATGTTCATATCAGTTGATGTCAATTATTTTCTTAATAAATGTCACTTTATTATTTCTTTTAAGTTAAAAGACAGATTTTTGCTCCTGAGTGAAAGTTATGTGAGCTGAGAATGACAACGATTAACAAACAGCAAAACATTTCATAAATCTGAGGTCGATCAGTTTTGTAAATCAATATATATACATATATGTATATGTATATATATATATACTCTTTTATCACCCAGCCTTATTAAAGTTCCATGTGATACTTAATTTTGATATAAAAATAAACATCTACTTTACATTCCTGTATTTTTCTTTTTGGCCTGATTCCCAGATGAAGCTTTTTTCATCCTGAGAGTCACACATTGTGTGTTTTGAGAATAAATTCTGCAGAACAAATAACACTTGATACCAGGAGACTAATCAAAGCGTGAAACCAGAAATGAAGAAATGAGGAGGAAAACAGTTTAGTGTTCCTTACCTGAGCAGATCAATTTCATCAGCATGAACCCCTGTTCTCCGTGTCTCCTACTGGCACATCTCAACAGGCAGGAAGCCAACTTCAGCGCGTCTCCAGAGCTGCTGCGTGCACGCAGCTGCAGAGAGACAGAGAGCAAGAGAGAGGGCGGCAGATCAGTGCGTGAAATTGGGAGGAGTGGGCTTAAATGGGAGTGAGGAGGAGAACAAAACAGGTAGATGGAGAATGAGAGGAATAAATGAAAAGAGTGAGAGATGCTGATACAAAGAGAGGGAGGGAGCAGAGACTGATGTGCGAGTCACAACCTCAGAGCCCGGCTGTTTATAAAGCCTCAGGCAATGTGTGCGTGTGAGGCAGTGAAGTGGCCACCCACGCCACCCTGTGTGTGAAGATGTGTGTATATGTGTGTGTGTGTGTTTCCAGTACATGGCCACAGGGTTCAAATGTTCCAATCAATACCTGAGCATCACACAGTTGTATAAATACATGCACACAAATACTACGAGTTCTGCTTTGCATTTTATGGCAAATGTTCCGTGGCCCTGAAGTTCACGTCATTAAATGAAAAATCACACAACACAACGGCACTAACTTCTAACGACAAAGTAGGTTTGTGGTATCGACTCGTCACTGATTGGACATCTACACTTTCTTTTTAACTAGTATTATAGTATTACTCGTTGGGTTTTATTATGTGCTGTTGTATCTTACTTGCATTTGTGTTTTCTTATTTGCCCTTGTGGTTATTATTTCTTCTTGTTGTATAGTGTTTTATGATAAACCTGGTTTCCCTCTTCAGACCCAACGTCCTCGTCTCCCTCTCTCCCGGCTGCTGTTGTTCTGGACCAGTGTCTCACAGGGTAACTTGCGGCCATTGATATAAGAGTGTACGCATCCGGGTGAATCGAGGACAAATAAGTGAAGCACTCTGGATAAAAGCGTTTTATAAAAATAGTCCATTTACTATTCAAACGTAGATTCAGAACCTGTTTGTTCTCTACGTTTTCTGACCACAAATAACCGTCTGGTTTCAATAATACAGGACAGTCGAGCCATTTACGATGATTTTAACCTAAAGTTAGTTGCTGGGTCTCCTCCTCCTCCTCCTCTGACGATGAAGCTGCTCTTCCATTTTACAAATTCATCAAACTGTTAGAGGAAGAGACGTTGCGTATGTTCACGTCCTTGAGTTGAGCACGTCATGGTTAGATTTGAAAGTATCTTGTGGACCAAAAGGCTGGAACCAACAAGTTAAAGCGATTGTTCCAGGGTTAAAGGTCCAGTGTGTAAGATTTAGGTGAAAGGGAACTATTGGCAGAAATTTAATGTAGAATAATCCTCATGATGTTTTCACTAGTTCGTTTCAACTAAATTGTATGAATTGTAGTTTTCTTTACCCCAGAAAATGTCCTTTATATTCAAATACTTTATATTTACATCGAGGGGACCCTCTCTACGGAGGCCGCCATGTTTTTTACTTTAGTGCAGACTGAACAAACTAAACACCTTCTGAGTTTTTATAACAATTAAAAGCTACCACGGGTTCTTTTTCATGTTTGGAAGGAGAGGGTGAGGTGAGGGGTGTTCAGCTGCAACATGACACTTCAACACTAGATGTCACTAAATTCTACACACTGTACCTTTAAGTCTTGGTTTTAAGCTGTTGAATCAAGTTTAGCGAGAGGACGTAGACTGTCGGTACAAATCTGCCACGTGAACCTATTTCAGTCACTCCCAATAAAATACCAAAAAGTGGGTGCAGCAACTCACTGTGGAGATAGATCTGGTTATGTGGGATTAGGGTTAGGCCTCCTGTGGTGACGTTTAATGTTTGGGTAAGGGGTGTGTGTGTGTGTGTGTGTGTGTGTGTGTGTGTGTGTGTGTGTGACTCATGAGAACCTACGATAAATTCTGCTTTGTTGTTACATAACTGTCCCGACTCACACACACACAGAGACAACACACTCTGGCAGCTAGACTGAGCTTTATCTCGTCCCTCTCTCTCTCTCACACACACAGGCACGACACATACAGTGGGTTGTTCTCACTCCGCTCTTGCACTGTTGTGTGTGAGTGAGAGAAAACACAGAACTCGCAGGACTTGTGTCACCTCTGCAGACGAGCCACAGAAGAACTGATCCGCTGTGTAAATTACAAAAAGCCCAAAAAGTTGAAACAACATGAGAAAATCTAAAATGACGTAACTTATTGTTATTATACTTATTGTAAGTCCTCAGTATTGTTACATTACAGGGTTTTGTGATATTCAATATCACACAATAACAGCTGAAGATATAATATTATCTTAGTTTAATAAATACATTGATCTATTTGGATTTTATAGATGTTTTTTTTGATATCATACAAGCAACATAAATGTGAGAATGTCATTAATAATGTCATTAAAATATAAGCAGCCACGTGAGGTGACGTTTGCTTCAGTTATCTATGATTAAATAAAGCGAAACTCTTTAACACCTAATCCTGAGACATGAGATCCAACTGGACATTATGATTTCTTTTAAAACAGAGACAATAAACAAGGAAATTGAGATAAAACCACATTTGAACATGAATATATCAAGAAACTCTGATTTAAAAGTAACTGTTGTGAAAAGATATATTCTCATCCAGTTTAATAAATAAAAGGTGAGAGGGTGGTTTAGATTTTTATAGATTTATGTGCAGAAATGGAAATGATGTAATTTCACTGCAGGCTCGCGTTGCCGACTGTTGCCAACAGGAAGCTGCTGCCAGTTTCTAAAAAATCACGTACAAATGTCCTTAGAGAGAGTTTGGTGGGAGATGAGAGGCTCATTAAAATCCTGACTGGACGTGCAGGGCAGAGGAAATATGAATAATAATAACATGATCCACTTTCAAATTCACAGTCACAGAAACTCTATGTTCTCCGTGTGAGACAAAGCATTTCTGAAGATGAGACTGTTTTAGAAAACAACACTTGACGACAAACATATGAGAGAATAGTTCCTGTTCTCTCTATAATGTCAGAATCACAAAGCGAATAATGAAACACACTTTTCAAAGTGGATCCAGGAATCTCGGATGGATCTCTATGAGCGTCCAATAAGTGGAGGCGTGACTGAATTTAAGGAGACTGTTGGTGAAGGCATGCAGTCCCCTCACTAAACCACATTTGAACCACATAATAAATTAATTCTTCTTCATCGAGAGCTATAACGTGTTCTCGCTGAAATTATTGAAAATGTTGAAAATGTCCTCACAACAAAAAATCTGGATTAACACCAAACTTTCATGAGTTATTTCCAGACTCATATCACATCCTTACACCAAGTTTCGTGGTCGTCCATCCAGACGGACAAAAAGACACAAAGACATCTGAAAACATAACCTGCTTAGCGGAGGTAGCTATTGTTAAAGTATTAGAGTTGCCAGAATAGAGTACCTGTACCACACACACACACACACACACACACACACACACCACAGTGCAGAGCCTTTAATACTCTGCAGATGAGACAAAGCAGGTGATGGTTTGAAGAAGAAAAGAAGACAAGAAGTGAGGGACAGGACCAGTCAGAAGAAAAGAAACCGTGGGAATCAAGTATCGCCTGTAGCCACAACAGCACTCCATCATTTCCTCATCTCTCTCTCTCTCTCTCTCTAATACCCCCCCCCCTCTCTCTGTGTGATGCTCTCTCCCTCCCCCTCTCCCCCCTCTCTCTGTCCCTCTCTCCCTCCTCTCATCCATCTCCTACCAGCTCTCCCTGACAGTCTATTTGGCCCACACAGCCCTGTCATCCATTCAACCTGTCAGTCCTGGCAACGGCACCAATCTCACACTGACTCGTGTTTGTAGCCGGGCAGGCGGAGCCGGCGGTCAGAGCGCCGGTGCCACAGCTGAAAGCCGAGAAGGTCAGAGGTTCAGCCCTTGCGGAGCCCAGAGTTCATGTTCGTCCTCCACTACAAGTTTTTCATGCATTCTACCTCTCATCCTGAGTTCATGTGACTTTTGTGTATAAACGTGTTTCAGGCTTTCACCATCGCTGATGTGTCAGATTTTAAACCAGTTGTCTTGGTAACCGTATCATTTAGAAACAAAAGCAAACGTCTAATGTGTGTATTTCTGTTGTCAGGTACGTTGTAATAATACCAGGTTTAACTATAAAGTGTCTTTTCTTATCAAATAAACAGATCAAATGTCTATTTTGACTTTATTTGAGTGTTTACGATCATTATTTGGGTAAAAACAGAACCAGTTAATAAGGTGATTACATTTAATTTCCATTTACACACCGCTCCACTTACTCTACACCACTTAACATTCATCTATGATAAACTAAAGGCCTGATGAACTAAGGAAACATTAACACTTTATTTCCGGGTTACGTTTCCAGGAGCTAATCTCCGTATAATGAATCTGTCAAAGGTTTTTTTTTTTTGCAGTGCTGACCTTCATGGCTGACTGAGGAGCAAAAGCCACTTAGAGAAACCCACTGAGAGCTGTGACGTCCTCTGGGAGCCCGGCACTGAGACCGTGTGCTGCCCGGACAATGTGAAGCTTTCAGATCAAACTGTCACTGATAAAGTCACAAGTATTAAAACTGGGAATGTGGCTTTTACCACGAGGAAGCAGATTACCACACTTCTGTTGAATCAAGGGAATCACAGTCTTGTTTTTTCTGTTTTACGTCATTTGCACCTGTAGATTGTGGTTAACGCATCACATGCACAGTAACCTGAGATGAATTAACTTCACATTTGTTCTGCATCTCTCTCTCTCTCTCTCTCTCTCTCTCTCTCTCTC